CGGGCCGCGCAGGCCGGGCCGTGGCTGCTCCCCCCAGGCTGGCGCGTCCCAGTGGCTCATGCCGGGTCTCCTCGCCTAGTTTGACTACAAGGCCGTGGCCGACCGGCTCCTGGAGATGACCAGCAGGAAGAATACCCCGCCCTTCAACAGGAAGTGGCTCTCCAGACTCGTCCAAAAGTACGTGGCAGAAGGGTCGGGCCATATTGCCCATGAGTTTGAGCCGCCTCGGCCTTGCCACGGGACGGCCGCCCTGTGCCTCCCGTGCCGTGGCGCTCACGTCGGGACCGGGGACAGACGTCTGCTCACCACGCCCAGCGGTGGCCGGGCCCCAGGGTCGGCGCCCCCGGGACACTCTCAAGACGAGCGAGGCCTGGCGCTCCACCCGGGGCCTGGCCGCTGCGGCTGGCGGGGACGGCCGAGTCTGCCCCGGGGCTGTGGACGTGGCTTCCGTGGGGAAAGCCCAGGGGTGGCCTCGCACCCGCCCGCAGGGCTCCGGAGAGCTCGGCTGCGGCTGAACTCCGCCCCGGACCGTCTCGCCGTGGCGTGGGCTGGCCTGGTTTCCCTTAGTCCGCGTGCAGGAGGTGCCGGCCGGTGTCCCTCTGGGCAGAGAGGACTGAGCGTGCGCCGGACTCGGCAAACTAAAAACCCAGACTTGGCCCTGGCGTGGCAGGGTGCTGAGACCGGCACCAGCCCGTGCCGCCTGGCAGGGCTGCGGGGGCAGTGGCGCCCCGGGAAGGAGCGGACGCTGCTGCCGGCGGGCGGCGCTGGGGCTGGGCGCGGAGCCGGCGTGTTCGGGGAGAACGGAGCTGTGTCTTGACGGGCTTGTTTTGTTTCCCAGGTTCCAAGGCCTCTCCGAAGGTGAGGAGAGCCGCAGGTGGCAGCGGCGCTCTGGCGAGACGAGGGCGCTGGTGGGAGCCCCGCAGCAGCGCGTTGCCCGGGGAGGCCGCCGTCGGGGCACGCCCAGCTGGCCGCCTGGCCCTGGCCCGGGGCCGCCTTGTCGGCGCGCCTTGGCGAGATGAGCTCTGTCTTCTGGGAGGCTCTGGCTTGACGCCTCATGAGGGGACTGTGGTCCGTCAGGGCCTCGTCGCAGTCGCCCTGGCCGGGCGTCCCCAGGGGCTGCTGCTGGTTGTGGGGTACCTTCCCGCCAGTATCTGCTCCCACCCCACGTTTGGGGCTGCTTAGAACTAAGAAACAGGCCCTGACCTGGGGGAGCATAGAGCCCCAGGGGTTGAGTGGGGTCACCCCGACTTGCAGTTCCTCAGCTCTCCACGGGCAAGAGTGTGGACCGGCTCGGGGCGCTGGGGGGTCACCACAAGGACAGCAGCGGGGGTGCGGGGCGGGTCTCCTGTCAGCGTGCGACTCTGGTGTCCAGCAGGCCACGTGGTGCAGCTCAGCCTTGCCGAGGACGAGGACGACGGCCGGGCCCCTGGCCGCGGGGCTCACAAGAGGAAGAGGGGGAGCGAGCCGGGCCAGGCCTGCGGCTCGGAGAACCAGAGAGGTGAGTGGACGCTGGCCGGGCTCGCCACACGGAGCGGTGCGCGCCGCCCACCCTGGCTCTGGCGGCCTCGGCCGGCTCGGGCTCGCGCCCGATTGGCTTTCTCAACAACAGCTGCCGGCAGACCAGAACCTCAAGCTCATCGATCCGCTCTGCAGAATCGCCGCCAAGACCAAGGAGTGAGTGGCCAGCGCCCTCTCCGCGGCCCAGCGATGGCGGTGCCAGGCTGTGCGGGCGTCCCACAGGGCTCCTGGGCGCTCGCTCCGGCCTGGGCCTCCCCGTGGGCGCAGCGGGGGCCCAGGTGTGATCATGCTCTGCCCGCAGCCACATGCTGGTGCAGACCATCGCCCGGGCTGTGCTTGAGGCCGTCATCCATCGGTCTCCGCTGGCCCCGGAAGAGACCGTCGCCGGACAGCAAGCGGAGGCGGCCGGCACGCGGGGGGCAGGTGAGCACGCGGGGGGCAGGTGAGCACGCGGGCGGCTTTCCCTCGGCGCTTCCTGCCCGGCCTGGGCAGCGGCCCTCGCAGCCTGCCCGCGAGGGGACGCGCCTGGCGCCACACGCCCTCCTGCCCGTCCCGCAGTTGCTGCCGTCTCTCGGGCCCCGTGTTGCCCACAGGCAGCTGTGGCTGCGGGGGCCCGAGGGGCACTGCCGGCCGCAGGCTGCGAGGTTTTCTGCGGCGTCCGCGGTGCTTCTTAGTAAGAACAACGCCTCTGGCAGGAGGTGGGCTCGCTCTGGAGCAGCGCAGGGCCGCGAGGGGTGCCACCGCCCGGCCTGCTGGCCCCCCACCGCCCGCTGCCCGCGTCCTGACCACCCCCGTCTCGGGGGAGGGAGGTTCTCGTGCTGGGGGCTTGTCTGTGGCGTGATTAAAAGGCCGCGTGTGGGGCTGCTTCTGGAGGTTTCTTCACACGCAGGTTTGGGGAAAAGTGTCTGAGGAGTCATAAGTGCGCAGCTCGGTGGTTCGCGGTAAAGCAGAACCCCGCCGGGCGCACCTGGCAAGGCCGTGGGGCCTCGGCGGGCTCGGGAGTCGCTCTCTGCTGTGTCTCGGCAGCTCCGGGCAGGTGCCCCTCCAGGAGCGACGGGGCGCGGGAAGGAGGCGCAGGCCACGCCGGGAGCCCGGAGGACGAGGGGCGCCTTCTGCAGGTCGGTGGCAGCTGTTAGCTCTGGCGCGAGGTTTGGGCTGGGCTGCGGGGGCGCAGCCCCACCCCTCGGCCAGGCTGCCCCGCGGGCACGCTCAGGCGCCAGCTCCCTCAGGAGCATCACGTCCTGGCGCCG